TAGTAGTCTAGATATGGACGCGAGCACGTATGAAGCCTGACCTGCATGCCTGAGGTACCACTCGTGACCGTGCGCCTTGAGTTTGTCAATGTTCATATGATGTGGGGCACGCTTTTTCGATCCCTTTGATCCATTGAGCCCACAGCATCACGGACATGATGATGAGCATCGTCTTGGTCAGAATGACATGGATGTCGTTGTGCTTGTCATGCCATCTGGGCCATGAGTCAGCATCAGGGTCAGGGAAGTGTCAGAGGTCATGCGCCTGAAACCTGATATCTGTAATAGAACTGCATCTATTACAGGTACCATCAAGATATGTAGTAGAGTGCAGTGTATTATTATTCTTGTCAAGATATGTCATAGAAAGGACTCTATGACTTTTCCCACTTGAAGATGTAGTAGTGTGTTTGCTATTGCAGGTTTTGACTGACTGCTGTGGACACTCCATCCAGAGGTAGCTTGGCATGATCAATAACAATGATTGTATTGTGAAGACACTAAGGTCTGGTGTGAATGATGTTGTTGATGCTGACATGAGTGTCCAGTGTGTCAACTGATTGCTTGAAGTGATCCCTGGACCACAGTGGATGACTGCCTTTGGTTCTAATTGTTATCTGGACAACTGGTTACTAAGAACCACCTTCAGATGTCAGTGAGTGGTGATACAACACACATGCTACAATGGAAGCATTCTACCTGTGATTGCAACTCTTTGCTGACTGAATAATAAGTATATCTATGTCAAGTTATAGCTAGTAATGTATGGTGTAGAGTGGATGGTGATCCACTCACTTACTATGATGGGGAACATGGTTATATACCTTTCTTGCAGTGTTGCCCATGACACTACTCCTCCTCCTTGTCCCTCCTATCCTCCCCATCCACCTTGTGATGCCACTCATTGGCACCACTTGCCTTGTCTCCTGTGGATGGATGGACCTCTTGCTGCCTCATCTCTGTCAGGGGCCAGTCCCACTTCATCTGAGTGGTGACTCACACCCTTTCATCACCCTCCTGTCATTGGCACCCACCTGCTGGCACTGACTTCATTGTTGTGCAAGGCCCCTACTTCATTCAGTGGTGTCCTCTCCCTTGTTCAGTATCCTCCTCTTGCCATATTGGCAATGGAGGTGCCTCTAAAACCAATTCTCGTGAGGTCTGTCATATGAGCATGGTATTACCATTCCCACTGAGCTCTGTAGTAATGACCTCATTCCTACTGATCCTGATGAGTTCTGCCATAGAGCCATTTCTACTACCAATCTCAGTGAACTCTGCCTTAAGCTCTCACTTAGCCCAATCATGTGATTTCTGCACTCCTCTTCATATGCCTTCGGATCTTCTTACTTCCTGCGCATCCTGTCCCATGACACCGCATACCGCCAATGACCCCTCACTCGAGGACTCCTCCGATGACCAGGCCAAAACGATCCCGGCACCTGTAGATCATCAAAGAATTGCTGAACATGATACTGTTTCATCTGACAATTCCAATAGCAACAACAGCAAACCAAATGAACCTCTGCTTGACCTTAATGACATCAACAAAATGAACATCAACACCCTTCAGAACATTGTTACACAATCCACCCTGTGCAAATGAGCCAAGACCTCCTTGTACAAGTTACCCTCCAAGCGCCATGGCTTGCTCCTGTCATAGGACTAGAAGCGCAGAAGCAGAAGCCTTATGAGAAGCGGAAGCCTCATGAGGAGGAGCACAGGAATCGAGGATCGGGCAAATTGAGGGTTTTACAACAGAGTTCATCGAGATCTGTAGTAGAGAAGGCTCTATGACAGATCTCACCCAGATTGGCACAAACAAGGATTGTATCACAAATTCCACCAGGATCTGTAGTATTGTGATTGTACAATGGATCCCATGTGGGTGCCGATTGCACAGACACCTCAGCAGGATGACATGGTGGGAGCATGGGGTCTGTCACCCTGATGAAGCAGGGGGCTGGATCAATGATGAACTCAGAGCAGGAGGATGGGAGAGATGAAGTAGGGGGGTGAGTTGCCACTCAGATGAAGTGGGAGTGGCCCCTATCCAGGATGAAGCAGTTCCCATCCACAGGGAGGATGAGGAGCAGCACCAAAGAGTGACTTCACAGAATAGCCATGATGGCCAGGAGGAACATGAGGAGGAAGGACAGTGTCAAGAGGACCTCCTGGAGCAGTAGCAGTGTCGCAGGTGACACTGGGGGGACATGCCTATATATATGACCATGCTGCTCATCATAACAGTTGAGTGGAACCCCATCCACTCTACACCATACCTTACTAGTTATAGCTTCACATAAGTATACTTAGTAGTTTCCATCAGCAAGTTGCAATCACATAAGATTGCTTCCATTGTAGCGTGTGTGTTGTATCACTGCTCACTTACATCATCCAAAGGCGGTATTAACTGCAGTCCAGATATAGATTGACACTGAAGGTGGTTCACACTGTGGTCCGGCTTGCTTGATCATAGAACTGAAGGCAGTTGTCCACTGTGGTCCGGTGATCACCTCAAGCACTCAGTTGACACACTGGACACTCATGCCAGCACCAACAACAACAACATTCACACCTGACCTTGGTGTCATTGTAATACATTCATCTTATTGATTGTGCCAAGCTACCTCTGGACAGAGTGTCCACAGCAGTTAGTTGAAACCTGCAATAGCAATCAATCTATCACACATTCAAATGAGAAAGGTCATAGAGGCCTTCTATGACATATCTTGACAAGAATAATAATAGGTCACTGTTTACCACAGATCTTGATAGGATCTGTAATAGACGAGTTTCTACTACAGATATCAGGTTTCAGGCGCGAGACCCCTGACACCTCCATGAAGTGACACAACTCAACAATGCACTAAAGGATACCCCCAAGCTAACCACAAAGAACTGGTATGCCTGGAACCCTTGTTTCCAGGACATAATGGCCTCATGGTCCCTGACCCTCAAGCAACTTGACAGCACCACCAAACCAGGTGATAGGAAATACAACTGGAGACTGGATGCAAAACTTTGCACAATCATCCAAAGCAATGCCAAGCTCATTGGCCAGGATAACATGAACTACCTGTTCATGCAACCCACAAATGCCAAATCCTGGAGGATTCATGAGTTATATGCTTGACTCAAGTGAGACCTCACCAAGATGGAACACATTGCAGAATTGACCCTCCTCTACAAAGCCAGTAGGATTCACATGTTTAATGCAGACATTTGCAAATTCTCTGCCAACCTAGATGAGCAATGGGCCAAGGCTGAAACCATGGGATTCAACCTAATGCAAGTACTCAAGATCAAGACACTCATTGATCAAGCAAAGTTCATGACAGCATATAACAACTGTATCATGAATCTCCATGATAATGGCCATGGAACCAACTACAACATGATCTGTGCAGCCCTCTTCAAGAAACAGGATGATATGGTCACAAAGCCAAATCATAGGATTGACAGTGGAAAGGCCACTCAAGCTTTTGCAGTCAGCAGTAAGTTCACAAATCAGGACACCTATAGCATGGGAAAACCAGGCCTGGATGGACAAAGGAAATATTATTACTGCCAAGGTGAAAATCATATCAGCCAATTTTGCCCGAAGAACCCAAACAACAAGCTCCACACAATTAACAACACTACCACCACCAATCTGACCAACAATGAGATGCCCGCCTAGGACATTTGGTGCACTGTCGCTTCAGCATACTGAGCATCTATAGATCAACAGTCCTATGCATGGATCATTGACTCAGGTGCAACAGATCACATCACAAATGATAATGCAATTCTTATTTCCCCCATCCCAGGCACTGGTTTTGTGAAGACTGCTGGCAGGATGTTAATAAGAATCAAAGCTAAAGGTCAAGCCATTATTGACAATGATGGACACAAAGTATATCTAAACAATGTATTTTATGTTCCAGATGCTAGTGTGAATCTAATGTCAGTACAAGCTTTGACAAATGATGGTGTACATGTGACATTTAATTCAGATATTGCATGTCTCAAATGGCCTGATGGCCATGAAACAATTGGATATGCTAATCTCAACATGAGGCATTGGGAAATATGCCAGATGAACAGTGAAGCCCTTATCACAAACATCAATGACGAAATGAACAATCTACCAGAATGACTTGACCTTGACAAACCACCTAACCCACAAAAATTTACTAGCAATTTCATCCATGAGCGATGTGGCCACCCAGGCTGCAACAAGAGCCATATGATTGAAAGAGTGTACAACTTTAGGATCAGACCACATGAATGGCAAGACTGCATGGCAAGCAAAATGACAAAGGCTCAGATGGGATGAAGCACCACTGAACATGCTGAGTCTCCAATGGAACTCATACATGTCGACTTAGCAACACATTTCTGAACAAAGACTGTGTTTACCTGCCTGCTGGTAGTAGTAGACGATGCCTCTAGCTTCGCATATGTAAAGCCACTGCGATCAAAGCCTGACGCACTCCCTGTGTTTGTCACAACTCGGTCATGACCCCTCTCATAATTATCATAGATCTAACATGGATTTGGCATTTCCCTACAAAAAGAGTCTTAGACTTGTCACCTTGAGTCTTGTACTTTTGATCACATAGTTAGCTCCTTCCTTCTCCTCTTTTCCCTTAAGGAAAAGAGATTGTAAATCATTGTCTCAATCTACAGATCATCTATCCTCCTTCCGAAGTCTGGTAGTCTCCTCTGCCTTGCCATCTCGCCCTTGTCCTTGCCAACTGCTGAGCCGGTTCATGATAGTATCTCTTTTCCTTCCCTACCAGCCTTCGACAACATCACCTCTCTCATCATCTGGTCTCAGCGTTTTCCCATCCATCCAGGCTTTCACTCTCGCTCATTGCCTTTATTGCCTTTCTCTCCGCAATCACTTCCATCTCCCTACCTCCTCCCCTCTTGACACTCGATCAAGACACACCTCTCTCTTCGTTCGTCATCCAGACGTCCCTTCCTCCTCATAAGGCGCCGCCACCGACACTATGCCCCCTCCTAACCACTCCAAGCATATTGAATCCCTGGAGGCTCAAGTTCAATCGTTACTCGCTGCTCTCAATGCTCACAATGCTCAGGAATCACCCATTGGCAACACCTCAGCCCAACAAGGGTTCTGTTCCAAAGAACCAGAGGCCTTTGATGGCGAGCAAGGTCACCTGGAGCCATTCTTAGCCCAGGTTGAAGTGTTTCTATGGCTCAACCATGGATGCTTCATCAACAACTCCGACCAGATCCTCTGGTTGTCCACACTCTTGTGCAGAGTTGCTCACCAGTGGTTCTACCCTCACCTTAGCGCCATCAACCCTCCTGCCTGGCTCTCCAACTACTCCTTATTTGTCAACCAACTATGCATCATCTTTGGGGACCCAGGTTGTATTGCCACTGCCAAGTGGGAGATCAAGGTTCTATCCCAGACCACATTGGTAGCAAACTACCTCACCCACTTCCATTGGCTGCAAATGACCCTTAATTGGGGTGAAGACACAATGACTTGGTTCTTCTATCAAGGACTCAAGGAGAATGTCAAGGACAACCTCAGATGCTCTGGCAAACCAACTGAGCTAGAAGCCCTCATCCAGAGATCCCTCAAGATCGACAACCATATTGCTGAGCAGATCTATGAGAAAAAGAGGGTGAGCACCTGGTTAGCAAACACCACACTCATGGCAGTCTCCAACCCTCCCATTGCTCCAACAATCGTCCAATCTGCCCCTTGCATTCCTCTTACCACTGCTGGAAAGCTTGACCCAGATGAATACAAGTGTTGTCAAGCAAACAGCTTGTGCATCTACTGCACTCCTTCAGAGCACATCATCATGGACTGTCCTGTTATCAAGTTAAAAAATTAATGGGCTTGTCAAAAACAGCTGCCTTAGCACCACAAGCCCAAATTGCTAAGCACCAACTGACAGCACTTACTCCTGTAGATGCACAACCTCCCAACAATCAATACCTGTCTACATCCCTTTGCTTCCTGTCACATCCCTCTTTGCCAGCACATGATGTCATGATTGACTCTGGTGCCACCACCAACTTCATAGACTTACACTTTGCCACTCTCCATTCCTTGCCCCTGACCTTGAAGCCACTCACTGAGACCCTCTGGCTCGCAGAAGGCAAAACCCAAGTCACCATCAGCAAGGAAGTGCAACTTCCCTGCCTTGTCGCAGAGCTCTTCTCCTCTGACATCACCTTCCAAGTCACCAATCTTGGTCCTTGCCCCATTATCTTGGGGCTGCTGTGGCTCAAAAGAGTCAATCCCAAGATAGATTGGCAAACCGGTGGTATCACCACACAGAGCCCTACCCCACCTCCTTCGCAGTTGGCACCATCTGCATCACTCGATATCGGTGTTATCGATGCCACGGCCTCCCACAAGTCTCACCAATCTCACTGTATCACCTCAGGTATGCTCCACCCTTCTGATAGTCAGCCACAGCACTTTCTCACCACCACTACAACATCCTCTGTTGCCACAATGGCTCTCACTTATGATACTGGCCTTTCCAATATCATCCCCCCAGAATACCACCAGTATCTCGACATCTTCAGCAAAACTGAAGCCAACAAACTACTGCTTCATTGCACATATGATCATCAAATTCCACTGGAGGAAGGTAAATCTCCACCCTTCAGACCCATCTATAGCCTCTCAGAACATGAGCTCAAGACTCTCTTGGAGTACCTGGAAGAGAACCTTGCCAAAGGATTCATATCTCCATCAGACTTGCCAGCTGCCTCACCCATCCTCTTTGTTAAAAAGAAGGATGGTTCCCCCTGCCTTTGTGTTGACTATCATGGGCTCAACCAGATCATGATTTGAAACTGCTACCCACTCCCCCTCATTGATGAACTACTGGACTGCCTCCGCAAAGCCCAGTTCTTCACCCATATGGATCTGCAAGGTGCATATAACCTCCTTTGCATTGCCAAGTGCAATGAATGGAAGACCACCTTCCATACTTGTTATGGCCTATTCCAGTACAACATCATGCCTTTCGGCCTCACCAATGTTCCTGCCTCCTTTCAACATCTGATGAATGACACATTCAAGGATATGCTAGACAGGTCCCTCATCATCTACCTTGACAACCTGTTGATATATTCCTCTACCCTTGAACAGCACCAGGGACATGTCTCTGCTGTGCTGGCATGCCTTCACCAAGTGGGCCTGTACACAAAGGCCAATAAGTGCCAGTTTTCCACTGCACAAACCAAGTTCCTTGGGTTTGTTGTCATGGATCAAGGTGTCTCCATGGACCCTCGTAAAACCAAAGTCATTACCAACTGGCCTGTCCCCAAATTGGTGCACAACATACAGGTGTTCCTTGGCTTCTGCAACTTTTATAGGAAGTTCATTCCTCAGTATTCCAAAACTGCATACCCTCTTACACAGTTATTGCATAAAGAGGCTCAGAGCACTCCCTTCACTTGGAGCAGTGATGCCCAGCAAGCCTTTGAACAGCTTTGCTCTTCCTTCAACTCTGACACCATCTGTCACAGGACCTGCACAGAAGATCGGGTCTGTGCACGAAGATCTGAGATGAAGATGAAGATGTGGTGCACCAAAAAAGGTGCATGAAATGTGACATCAACTGTAACACAGGTTTCTGGTTGATTTCAGGGAAATCAACCACATTGAGGGTTTCTGATCAGTTTTGCTGAAATTGAGTGCAACACACTCATCAGGTTGATTTCACCAAAACATGTTGCACAAAGCCCCATCAGTATGGAATGGACCAACAGGATACAAGAAGGCAATGGGAGACTTGGTAGGGAAGGCCACCATCATCAAAGGTAGGATAGGGCACAAGGAAGGGTCTCATGTGCTAAAGGGGGTCCAAGTTTAGCCAAGAAGAGGACCAAGCTCAGGAGCAAGCAGCAGGTTACCACATAGGGGGATGTGCTCTTGATTGCATAAGGGTTGGTCACAAGGTAGACTGCATGGACAGGAACAAGACAATAAGGATGGTCACACAGTCAGAGAGGGCCATCAGATAGGGGCAAGGAATGACCTTGGATTGAGAGGAGAGGGAGTCAGACCAAGAGGGTTGGCATTGGTACCATGAGGAGGATGGGCAGTGTCAAGAAGAATCAACACACAGCCCAAGGAAAGGAGGGGTATGAGGAGGATGGAAACACTCCTCCAGAGGAGTAGGAGCAGTGCCACAGGTGGCACCTCTAAAACACATAAATACTACTACTACTTCACCATAGCAAACAAGTGGATCCTCATCCACTCTACTCTTTACTTTACATACTCTTACTTAGTTACATATCATTGCAATAGCAAGAAGCCTTTGCAATGACATCTTGAATGTGTGTGTTGTATCACTGTCAGATGTCAAACTGTAGGCAGTGTTCTCTCAACACCTGCAGTCCAGTTCATCACTGTAGGTGGTGTTGCTCAGCACCTGTGGTCCAGTCAGTTATTGTAGGCAGTGTCTAAACACCTGCAGTCCAGTAACTCCCATCATCTGTAGGTGATAGGCTTATTGCAGTCCAGGCAATGTCAAAGAGTATCAAGTGACAGTACTGCAAACACTTGTGCTGTATAGGAGAGTGTAACACTCTCACCCCAGGGAGTAATGGATGTGCTGCATAACCTCTGAATGGAGTGTTCAAGGTGGTCAGCTGAAACCTACCAGAACACAACTGTCTGGTTACTTTCAGTTGAAACATACTGAGTAGATCTTACTCAATCGATCTCACTGAAACCAATCAGAAACACCCAATCTGGTTTCAGGCATGCAACCACTTACACCATCCTGCACCACTTCGATCCCACCCAGCCAATCATTGTCAAAACCGATGCATTGGACTTTGCAGTCACTGCCATCCTCTCCCAGTCATTTCATCATGGCACTTGACACCCCATTGCATTCTTCTCAAAGAAGCTCGACCTGGCACAACTCAATTACCCCATCTTTGATAAAGAGATGTTCACCATTGTTGCCACCTTCAAACACTGGTGGCAGTACCTCAAGGGTGCCAAGTGTCAGCGGTCATGTGCCTAACACCTGACTCCCTGTGGAATGGGCCATCTCAGCGGAACTCAGCAAGTTCCGATAGGAAGGGTAGACTGAGTGTACCTCTCAGAGAACCGGTGAGGAGGCTCTCCTGAATGGTTACCCATGATACCCGAGGCCTGGGGAATGGATGTCGACTAACTGCTGTCAGCACTCTGTACAGAGGTAATGTGGCAAGTTCAGCTCCTAGCAATGGTGTAGTGCAATGCCGGCATGAGTGTTGAGACGTCAACATAGCACTGTTAGTGATGGAGCTAGTGCTTGGTTGATGTTGCTGGCAGCAGTTAGGTTATAGGGACTGGTAGAGGTTCCAGGCCTGCAGTGGAGGTTCCACCTGTAGTTGAGGTGCTACAGTGTCAATGTAGGTGTCGATGATGTCGTCTACAGTACTCTTTGTTTGACAACGAAGACTCAGACTTGTACTGATCACAATAGATGATATTGTGATGTGCAACATATAAAGAATGTTGCTGTTCATGTAGTATAATGTACAGTTATGATAACGGTGAAGGGTTTTGTAGAGTGGATGAGTCTCCACTCATCCAGTAGCATGGAAAGATAGTATATATACAAAACTGTACCAAAATCGCAATCTAGTGCTATCACACAACCTGTGTGTGACATCGCCCAGGCCTTGCTTGGTAATGCTGACTTCAGCACCTTTCTGAGCCACCAAGCCGACTACACTTCCAGAGTGATTGTTCCCTAGCAATTCATCAAGTGTCTGATCATCATCGATTGACAACATTGACCTCCCACATGCCCAACAGGGTGGCACTGCTCAACAACCCTCCCATCTGTTCCTGCCACCAGTAGTCCCCAATGTCCAGTGAGCTATGGTCATCTACTGGATCTCCCTGGGATCTGCTGAGCCAGGCTCTTACACTGGCCCTCAGCCGATTTAACCTCTCCATCTGTGCAGATGGCGCAGACTCCATTTCAGCTGATGGCGCAGACTCCATTTCAGCTGATGGCGCAGACTCCATTTCAGCTGACCAGCTCCTGTGACACCAAGTTCCCAGTGCAAGTTCTCACTGATCATTGCAGTCTCAAGTACTTCACTACTACCAAGCAACTCAACCATAGGCAAGCTCACTGGTCAGAACTCCTTGCTGACTTCGACTTTGTCATCCAGTACCAACCTGGTGTGCAGGCTGGTCTTCCCAATGCCCTCACTCATCATCCCGACATGTGATCCATTGACAAGGGTCCTTTGCTGATACAAGAGCACAACCCTGACAACTTCCAGACCCTCCTCAAACCTCATCAGCTCTGACTTGCCACTACTGGCATCCTCACAGTACAGTCCAACATTACAGACAAGATCCGTGATGCCCTTCCTGACAACCCATGGACCTCATTGCTCCTGGAGCAAGTCCACTCATTATCACCCCCACCTGGCTTTGTGATCAACTCAATGGACCTCCTCACCTACTGGGACTTGGTATGCATACCTGATGTTGAGGACCTCCAGCTCTTAATTGTCCAAGATTGTCATGACTTGCCTTCAGTAGGACACCCCAGTTGCCAAAAGACACTTGCTCTTGTTTGCCAGTCCTTCTTCTGGCCAGGCATGTCCAAACTTGTCAATGCCTTTGTCAATTCCTGTGAGACATGTTGGTGCATCAAAGCCATCTGGCACAAACCTTACAGTCACCTCAAATCCCTCCCCCCATTCCCCCTCATCCATGGTTGTCCATCTCCATGGACCTCATCAAACAACTCCCCCTGTCATTGGGCTTCACTGCCATCCTTGTCATGGTTGACCACCTTATGAAGATGGTGACCTTTGTTCCAACTACCCTCACATTCAATGCTCTGGACCTGGCTGTCATGGGCCTGAATGCACAGGCAGCAGGAAGACCCATTAGTTCATATGAAGGGAGTGCAGGAATCAGGGGATCAGGCAGATTGTAGGAGTTGCAGCAGAATTTGCCAAGATCTGCAGAAGAATTGGCTCTATAACAGATCTCAGTGCAATTGGTACAAACAAGGATGATATCACAGATCCTGCCAAGATCAGTAGTAAGCATGATCATATGGCAGATTCTGCAGAGATCAGTGATAAGGATGTTCATACAATGATTCACATGTGAGGAGGACCAAGCTCACATGCAAGGAGGATCAAGCACTGCCAAGATGGGGACCAAGCTCAAGGAGCATACAGATGGTTACCACTCAGGGGTTCACAATATAAGAGTCAAGGGAACTGTTGCCAGTTGAAGGAAGAAGAGCTGTGCCAAGGACACCAGCAAGCAGGTCATGAGGAGGAGGAGCAGTGTCAAAGGAGTTGGCACACAGCTCAAGAAGGACAGACAGGAGTGACAGGCAAGCAGGGCTCGATGAGGAGGAGGCATTTCATCAGGGACCCCTGTACAGTACTCAGTGAAGAGGGTACTCTCTGGAGAGAGAGCTGGAGCAGTGTCACTGGCAATGCTGTGAAGAGGTATATAACCATACCTTCTCACCATAAGTGGTTGAGTGGATCCTCATCCACTCTACACACCATAAACTAGTTATCACTTCAAGCATAAGTATGTCAGGGGTCTCGCGCCTGAAACCCAGGTCGGTCTGTCGAGATACTCAGTGACTATCAAACTGTGCAACAGCTATTGTCTCAGTATCGGTGACTATCAAGTTGCACAGTGACAGCAGGTGGCATTCGTTGTATATACTATCGTAGGTTTCGGCTGACCTCTGTGGACACTCCGTTCAGGGGTAGCTCGGCATGATCAATATCAATGTTATGATGACACCAAGGTCTGGTGTGAGTGTTGATGATGATGAGATTGAT